AGCGTGATGGCGGCAAAGCGTAAAGGAGCTAGGAAGGTAGTCGAAGAGCAAGTTTCTTTGGGTCCTCAAGTTGCAGAAGGCGAATTCGTATTCGGAGTTTGCCACATCTATGCATCATTCAACGATACATTTGTTCACGTAACGGATGCGACAGGTGCTGAAACCATCGTTCGTGTCACGGGTGGCATGAAAGTTAAAGCCGATCGCGATGAATCTAGTCCATATGCTGCTATGCTTGCAGCTCAAGATGTCGCAGAGAAATGCAAAACATTGGGTATAAACGCCCTACATATCCGTATCCGAGCAACTGGTGGAACAAAGTAGGCTTCAGTTCGTTGTTTTTTAATGACCTTAGGGTCCGCACCCCAAGTCCTGCTGCACAGTCTGCTCTACGAGCCCTCGCACGTTCGGGAATGCGCATTGGCCGCATAGAAGATGTCACACCCATTCCAACAGATAGCACGCGACGCAAAGGAGGCCGTCGAGGTCGCCGTTTGTAATAACTCACATGTTGAATACATTATGGTTTGATTTGATTATCTAACGTTTTTTGGAACTTCACTACCTCAATAATACTAAGTGCTTCGTCTAAAATTGGATGAGACAGGCATTTTAGTTTGAAGATACCGATATATTTCTTGATGTGTTCGTAGTTATAATGACGTTCACAGTAGTTGATTAAGTGGACAAGATTTTAGTGGTTTAAGGTATCAGTCAAACATTTACTTTAGTAGCTGTTACCGTTCGATACATCCTAGACAATCACCTACTTAAGTTATACCATTTCCAACAACTTGACGTCTTATGAGTCCTGACTACATCGCGAAACCAGGCGGTCACAAAAACACCTTAAATCACAACACTAGTCAGTCGTTTATTTGTCATTTTCTTGGTGAACATTAAGGTTTTGTAACCGTACCAGCTGATATGAACAATCAGTTTCATTGGCAATCAAGAATAGGTCGACAGGAATATCACCCATCAATTTACTATTTGATGCAGTCAAGTATCATGCCCATGATGTAGTTTTGCCTTTACGACGTAATTCTATGTTTGGATTTACTACACCGAGTACGCCTCTCATACCAGCTGATTAGCTTACGCTACATTTATATCACTAGAAATCAGATTAATGGATAAAGATAGCCGTTAGTCTTTGTGGTACTCTTCTGAGACATGTCCCCATTCAATGTGTAGAATGTGGATATGGTCCCTTAGCATCAAGTGATAAGACAACGGTGGGTGAGCATTTTACTTCCTTATGAATACGTAATCAGTTTTGTCACCAACTTATTTCGGAATACATGTTCAAGACTATCAGCTGGTTGAGGCATAACCCCAATAACATCTTTATGAAGATGCTTAAAATCCCTTTAGGCTAACCAGAGTCAGCTTACAGTTATTGCTAGGTTTTTCTGTGCGGTACATCACTTCAGTTAGGGCCCCGTTTCCCCTCAATCGGGAGCAAAGCTTTTGGTCCAAGTGTGTTAAGAGCCTTTATCCGTAATTCGGCTCCATAAACCGTGCTTGGGACAGGAAAGTTAGAGGTTATCCCAAAATGAGCCCGACTTTTAAGTGCTTCGACAGTCGCTTGATGGAATGTAAATAATGCTCTGCAAACACGACACCGATACTTTCAAGACGTTATTTTCCGACAAAAGGTGTAGTGCCTTAGTTCTGACATTCAGATTAATTTAGGTATCGTTGAAGTGTTTGACTTATGTTTTGACATACATATGGCCATAGATTTCTTAGAAGAGGTTCAAAGACGGAAATTCCCTCTATCGTAAGCCTCACTGTACAAGTTTAAGAGGTGGTCATGTTACCCATTTACTCAGAACAGATCCGTGTGGTTAATTTTAAGGTATGTTCCAAGTGACGGCTCAGGGCTTGAACTTGTGATCTAGTAGTTAAAGAAGCAGAAAGGTTTGTCAGTGATAGTGTATTTTGAAGTAGGTTTCCTGAGAAAGCGGCGGTTGTCTGACTAACTGTTGCCTCCGGAAGACTATGATTGACCAAAGTTTGGGGAAGAGTAACTTTAACTAGGGATTTGCAATGCAGCTTCTTGACAAAAAGGAAGGACAGGACGAGCATTCTTCATGTATGTATTTCCACCGAATGATATTTCTGGTGTTTCAGTCATGAAGACTAAAAGTTACTATTAGTGGTTGGCTTCAAAAACGACAGGAAAACATAACTCACTGAGTCGTAAACTATCCCTCTGATGTCTGTGTCCAGATATCCTTTTTATCTTTATTGCACCAACACTTTAATTTATAATACTTTGCCTCTATGTGATACGCTTGCCTTTGACACGGTGAAAATCTATAGCTTAGAGAGATGTTTCTGGTGGATTTGTGTCTTGGTCGATCCTGTTGTGGGTCATTCACCGTCCCCATAGACATCGCAAAATTTATACAGATGTGAGCTGTTTTAATGTGGAGAGTGAAAAAGCCTTATATAGCAGTTCCCAGAAAAATACCACTGTATATCATTTACCTCCCTACTTGTAGAAGATACTTGCAGTTGATATGGACCGTAAGTTGCTTGAGTCCGTGACGTTGTTTTGAACACTGATATTTTCCGATGAATTTTGCAGCCATGCAACTGCCGGTGATCTTTGACCTTGGCTCGGCAATAATGGCTGTCCACAGATAATATCTACTGTTGGGGCGTAATAGTTGTCTGGTACATATGACTCATAAGCCTGTGATCGAGCGATAAAGGGTTGTTTCAAAAAATTGTAACAGGTTCATACCTGCTCAGTATGCGGTTAGTTACTTGTAATAGGTATTATCTCACTCTGAATACTTTTAAGAAATATCCTGACAACATAACTATTTGGTTAGTAATATACGGTGCTCTGAGGGTATATTCCACAACTGACACAGGCCATCCTTTAATGAAATCTCACTATCTATGATACGTTTCAAAACGTTATCACATCCTCGAGACACCACAACTAATTATGATTCAGTAGGCCAGTGTTCATTAATCCAATACACCATTTTCCCTAGCTTATGGTGAACTGTCATCTGCTTTTGCAACCTCAAGTAGTGTCCGTCAAGGCTGTCCACTTTCTCCATTTTTGTTTAACTTCATCATAGACCTATTGATGGAAATAACATTCTCGTCTACTGATTTCTCGGGTATTGATCTCCATCCAGGAGGTCCACTTATCGACTTAGAATACGCAGATGACAGTCCTGTTTGGTGAAGACGCTGATAAAATGCAGAGTCTTTTGGTAGCACTGAGCAACAATGCCAGAATGTTTGGAATGCGTTTCTCCCCCTCTAAATGTAAATTGTTGCTTCAGGACTGGTCTGCGTCAGCACCTGAACTAAGGATAGGGAGTGAAGTAGTCGAACGCCTCGACAACTTCACTTATCTTGGAAGTCTGATCAGCCCTAATGGGTTGGTGTCTGACGAAACCTCAGCACGGATTCGAAAAACTCGCTTGGCTTTTTCCAACTTACGTCACCTATGGCGAAGGCGAGATATCCGTCTATGAATAAAAGGACGAGTATACTGCGCGGAAGTTCATTCCGTTCTACTTTACGGCTGCGAAGCATGACCATTAAGAGTTGAAGTTACTCGTAAGCTACAGGTATTTGACAACAGATGCCTTATAAACATTTCTCGTATCTGCTGGGATCACTAGGTAAGTAATAGTGAGGTTAGACGCAGGGTATTAGGGAATGATGGTAAATCAGTTGATGAGATTGTAAATCTTCATCGACTGAGATGGCTGGGCCACGTGTTACGTATGCCCAAACACCGATTACCACAACGTGCAATGCTAACCGGTGTTCGGGATGGTTGGAAGAAAATTAGGGGCGGCCAAACCAAAACGTGGCATCAGTGCTTGAAGTTACTAACTTCTAGTCTGAGCCATGTTGGTAGATGCAGACTACTTGGTTGGGGTCCGCGTGACTATCGTAATCAATGGTTGGAGATTCTTGGTGACATGCCTCAGAATCGATGACAATGGCGTCGGTGCATACTCTCTATCTTCCCTTAAACTAAGAGATTAAAATTGCTTCATGTCTCTCTTCCTACGAACTAATTCTTTCTTCCTGTACTATATCCTTATACGCAATCTTTCTTTTATATATTACCACCTCTGAATTAACTACTTTTATGAATCCGGTGTCCATCTTGATGTGTTAATGAGGTATAGCAACTTGGACCGATGCATATATGTGCCTGGTCCTACGTTGCAGCTGACTGACCATTTTCCCTACTAAATGGAATTTCTCACGACCGATAGTAAACTAACAGTTTAACAAGGAAAACCCACTAAGATTGCCCGGTGATAGTCTATCATCACAACGACACAAATGTAGTGACAGAATTATAATTATACGGTAGGCTACTCGCAAAATCCTCAACTTATGTGAGAATGTCAATAGTCGAATACACATATAGTGCGAACGGTACTTATTAGTCTGGATCGGTTGTGGTGTGGTGAGTACATGAGTAACCGAGTCTATTGACGAAATCAATAACGTTATACACAGAAATTCAACGACATTTACATTTTTCAACTGCTACTTCGTGCAACACTACATAGTCAATAGTGCAGTTCGTATTATAATTAGAACTTAATAAACATTAATGACTAGCTCTACATTGACTGTAAAAAACACCTTATTTTTATATTTTGAAATAAAAAGAACTAAAGAAAGCATGAAACGTTTAATGATCACAAATTAAAGGTGCAAAGCAGTAGGTAATGATCAAAATGTACATATTGGAGTGATATTAGGACATAAATACTGCACAGAAAAAACCAAACATTTATTATTATGTGAATGATGACCAATAACTACTGGTTTAAAGAAATGCTAAAATATACAATCAAAATATGTTGACTTTTTAAAGCCTTTTAGTATACAATCCGAATCTGTGTCTTTAACCACTCAATCATTTTACATGTAGCAGACTGGAACACAACGAAAACAGATTTGAATACATAAGAAAGACTTGTGATATTTCCTTATAACCACAAAGAGCTCATAGAACCACCCATCTCACTTTGCTCTCGAACAAATACTTCATAGTATTGGTAGATTGTTGTGACAGCCATGAGAATACCTGTTCCGCTTCCAATAGCACCTGAAACAAATAAGTTAATTTGTGAATAAACTATATCAATAAAACCACTGGAGTTGTTGTTAAGTTTTTAGTACACACAATTTGCATGAAATATTTGTCATATCTAGTATAAAGAATTAATTAATTAACCCACTTGTCAGGTGCTTACTTGGGTAAGATCTACATCCGAAGTGTGAGGGTTAATTACATTGTTGTGCCCCCAAACTGAAGTGGAGTGGGGTTTGAACCTAGAGTTTAGTGACCGAAGGTAGAAAACTTGAATCACTAAGGTATCATCCCGCTAGTGGGATTCCACGAACGCTCCGATGGGAACAGATTGTATTAATGGGCTTTTTACTCAATATTTGGCCGGCTTATATAAAAAGTAGTAATAACAAGAGCTGTATTTTCACAGCTGATGACAATTACAAGCTTTCACATTATTCATTATCAAGATTTTAGGACTTAGGGTCATATGAAACTAACAATGAGCCCGCTCTTAGGAAAGTGCGTTGTTTGAAACGACTGTTTTGGGTAAAGCGAACGAGTAGAATCTAGTACAAATATGTTGGAACAAGCTGTCACAATCCACACGAGAAAAAAGGAATTAACAAGAAAGATATGTGGAGATAATAAACCTGAGTGGTAGTAAACCAAGGAAACCTGTGTAATAATGGCGTGAAAAGTATGAACCTACTTCTTGTGCTTGATTAGTGGCATGAATCAGGTGATGACTGGGCTCACGAAACACCCCTACCAGCTTACTTGATGGATACCCATAACTTCGGAACAATTTACCACCAATCTCAAAATGTCTGTAATGGTCCTATAATAAATCAGTGTTACAAAGCACGTTTGGCTTTTGCAAACTTACGTCACCTATGGCAAAGGCGAGATATCCGTCTATCAACTAAGGAACGTGTATACTGTGCGGCAGTTCGTTGTGTTTTCCTTACGGCTGCGAAACACGGTCATTAAGAGTAGAAGATACTTGTAAGTTACTAGTATTTGGTCACAGATGTCTTAGAAATATTACTCGCATCTGCCGGGATCACCGGGTAAGTAATAGTGAGGTTAGACGCAGGGTATTAGGAAATGATGATAAATCAGTTGATGAGATTGTAAATCTTCATCGACTAAGATGGTTTGGCCATGTTATGTATGCCCGAACACTGATTACCACGACGCGCAATGCTGACTAGTGTTGGGAATGGTTGGAAGAAAGTTGGGGGCGGCAAAACCAAAACGTCGCACCAGTCCATAAAGTCACTGACTTCTGGTTTTAGCCATGTTGGTAGATGCGGACTACTTGGTCGGGGTCCGCGTGACCATCGTAATCAATGGTTGGAGTCTCTGAGTGATATGGCTCAAAATCGATCACAATGGCGTAGCTGTATACACTCTGTCTTTCCTTGAAAACTGAGAATGCTTTATACCTTTCTTTATACGAACTAATTCTTTCTTCCTGTATTATATTCGTATACAGAATCTTTTTTTACATATTACCACACTTGAAGTAACAACTATGAATTTGGTGTTCATCTTGTACTAATGAGGTGTGGCAACTTGGACCGATGCATATATATGCATGGTCCTACGTTGTAGTTGACTGATAGTGTTTCAAAGACACCCAAGACCAGTTGCTAGGATCTTGTGTCTTCAGCCCTCTAAGATAAATAAATGATCTAAAGTAATACCTTTATGGTTAAAACATTTATATCACCTATTGGGTTATTATTATTTGAACACATGAATATTGGTACAACAGAGCGCCAATATATATGCGCCACACAAAACAATGAGAATTCGAAGAGAAGTAGAAAAAAAACTAAGGAGCGCAAAAGAAAAAGAGAACAATGACGAAGAGATTGGAGTAAGGTAGTGTGGTAGTAACGACGGAACGAAAAGGTACAATCAGAAGAAATCTTTCAGGTAAAGGAGACACAACCACTTTTTATGAAGGAAGTAAAAGAAGGTTACAGCAGGATCGCCACTGGCTTCTATTCTCAGCCATATCTGATAACGTCTCTAGCCACTGTGTAGCACCATCTCTCAGACCCCAACCAGGGAGTCGTGAAGGACCAACAGAAGCCAGTCCTTTACAGCTTTCTTTCATACCACGACACCATGTCATGCACTGACCACCTCTCCGCTTCTTCCAACCAGTCCCAGAGTCGGCAAATAATGCACGACGTGGAATTCTCTGGGACGACATTCGGAGAACATTGGGTAGCGGATTCGAATCCTGCTCTGCTTACTTTGGTCTGGACTCAATGCTGAGTATTCGAACTTATACTCGATTAATAAATTACAATAACGATAATGCTACCATTTTAGTAACTGGGTTTTTCGGAGAATACTTTAAAACGTGATCATTAGTTCAAACCGCACTCTTACAATCAGCATTTAGACAGTTGATAAACATTTATTTTGAGAATATCTTACTGTATTAAGTATACAGTACTTGAAAAAACGATTAACATCAAGTCACATCTCAGTATGTGTATTTATAAATGACCGTCCCACTGTACATACACACTTTGATAAATTGTACAAACGAAAATAAGAACGAGCATATACCGTTTATAAATGGACAATTTAAAGGATTATGACAGATTTCCAATAGACGATATCCGAGAGCTCTACTAGATTACGCCAACGAGATGTATTATATGGAAATCTTTTCGAGTAATATCACACATGAATGAATATAAGGAATTTAAGTAAAACGTATGTATTAAACGGAAGATATAGTAACCTAGTGGGTGTTTGGTCTGGAATTCAAGTAAATAACACCCCTACAGGGAAGATTGCTATGCAGAGTAGAGATAGTAAAGAATCACGAGTGGACAAATAAACGAAAGTAATTCAGGACCTGACAAGAACTATATCGTTGCCACGCTTCATATTAGCACACAGAAACAGAACCAAAGAGACATAGTAAAAATGGATGTACCGAAATTGTCTGAGAACAGAAGGTAGAAAACCAACGCGGAAATATGGAGCAGAATGCACAGAATAACGATTTTTGAAGTTTATGCGAGAATAAATCTTTTCTCATTACTGTCACTGACTCGAAGCTATTTCACCGTAAGCAGCCGACTGCTTTCTTGTGAAATGAAGACGTGTACCTTGGATGCTTTGACGCCCCCCTTCAGAGTAACTAGATTTATATATAGTTAAAATGAAATGCCACTGAACTATATTTATTTATTATGGGAGTTTCATACGTCGTGCGAATGCAATTAAAGCTACTCGCTGTCTAAACCTATAAACCAATGGCCGCAAATTAAGTTTTACTCAGATTGTCATTGGTCCACTTAGTGATTCACATAAAGATGTAACGAAGGCATTCTTCAACTGACGGTCACTCTTGGTTATTGAAGTAATTATTAAAATGCAACTCAAGAAACTAAAATTACCATCTTACCTAGGAAGTCTGCCAATACTGAAAGAGCGCCGATACATAGACCACCAAGTGCGGCTGCTGTTGGAATGTAACGATTCAACTCATGCACCATTGAATTCTCCCGATGTCCGGGAACGACAGTTTGTTGTTCTTTGAGCTGTTTAACTACATCTTTAGCACTGGAATTTGAGACATCGATCCATATTTTACTGAAAAACGCACAGCTTCCAAGCATGAAAGCAATATACAAAATGCCATGTATGGGGTCTACTAGCATATCTCCTAAGGAATCTGGAGGTGTCATGTAGTAACACAATCCTCCGATAGGTACAGATCGAGAACCACCTTCACCATCCGACCAAACACCCAAAAGATTGATAATGAAGTTACCTCGAAACTTGCTAGCTAACATCTACAAAAATCTTTTCAAAATGCAATGCTACTTACTTGTGACATTACATAAAGATTAGAGACAAGTGCACTTTGAAGCATGATCGGGGCATTACTGGTGTAGAAAAGTTTGATTGGATATGAAGTTGATTGCCCACGATATCGGATTGACTTGACTGCAATATCTACTCTGAAGCTCTGAAGAATTCGAGACTTGTAGTTAACTTACTTGGAAGTAAATGACGACAGCGAAGACAAGGATAGTTGCAAGTATGTTCATTAGATTTGGCAGATTTTGACGATAAAACGCTTCCCTTAATGCACGAACTTTATCTGTACGAGTGGCCAGTAGATGGAAAAGCGATATTATAGCACCCTCGAACTCCGTACCTGGAAAAATAAACGTAAAACTTAATATCTACCTCGTCCAGTGTTAATCGTAGTAGGGCTTATTGCTCTCCACACAATAGTTTCACAAATATTAGTTGCAATAAACAAAGATATACCAGAGCCCAAACCATAACCTTTCTGGAGAAGTTCATCCAACATCAAAACCAAAAGACCTGCAAACGTTAGCTGAAACGAGAGTGATTAAAAAAACAACACCAAACCTGGAAGATTATCAACAGACAAATTCCTGCACCTAGTTCGCTTGGTGCACCATAGATTCCGGACATAACATACACAGAAGCTTGGCCAACAGTTATAACCATACCGAATACTGAAGGGTCAGAAATTAATGACATCTTACATTTCTGAGCTCCATTAAATAAAGCTCTGTCTTTCGGTGCATCACCAACAGAGAGCACTTGTATCCCAGCAAGAAGCTGCATAATTAGACCAGATGTTATGATTGGAGATATCCCAAGTTCCATAAGTGTCCCTTTGTTTGACGCAGAAATCACTCGAAGCCAGTAGAGAGGGTCGGCAGATTCAGACGACATTATGCCAAAAAGTGGTATTTGGCAACAAAACAGAAATATCATTAGAGTTATTCCCGTCCATAACACCCGTTCTCGAAACTGAATCTTCCGTTCAGGACGGGAGATCTCCGGTAGGATTGCACAAAACGGCTTGACGATATCCAAAAACTTAACTATGTAAAACAATTATAATAAAAAACATTCATAAAACAAACCAGTCATCGTCAACACCAAAATCACAATGCGTGGCGGCTAGTATGCATGAAATGGACTGAACAAACAATTTTCATCATCCAATGTCTTTGTCATTAACCGATACGAACCAGCTAATCTATTTGTGGCCATACCTAGAAACGGACGTGTAGTCTTCATATTTTTTGGCGATAACTGTAGCAATGAGTCCAGCTGATGGGTGAGATTAGCAGTGGACACACTATATTTGAAGGAGTTCGAGTATCCTAACACCAATATGAGATACTTGCATGGCCTGATAAGCATCTAGGCAGTCTTTGCAGTTTTTTGCGGTATAAAGCATTAAGAAATCGCTAAAAAGTGAGACAAGACTGGATGGTACTATCTGTCTCCATCTACAAGTGACTAAAGGGATTTTAGGGTCGGATGAATGAAAACCCCTGATGCCTGTTAGGGCTCTAATAAGCAACTACCTACATTATTATGAAACTCGATCTTTCCTCATAAAGGGGAGTCAAGAAGAGAGGAGCCTTTACAAAATTAGATGAGCTTCAAAAACTCGCCATAGTAAGTCCTGTTTTCAAAACAGGTACGAAACACAAACCTGAGAACTACCGCCCCGTTAGCCTAACTAGTGTGGTTGTTAAAATCTTAGAAAAGATTATTCGGAAGGAGCTGTTTAAGTAGCTTGATAAAAACCGGATCCTCTCAGAGAAGCAGCACGGCTTCGGAATAGGTTATTTTTGTCTCACTAATTTATTAGTGGCTCGTGAAAGCTGGTGCGCTCTTAAGGACCAAAAGCTACCTGTAGACGTCGCCTTCATTGATTTCAGTAAAGCTTTTGACAAAGGTCCGCACAACCGGCTGTTATATAAGTTAAGAAAAGTCGGGATTGGAGGCAATTTATTGGTGTGGATAAAAGACTTCTTAGTTGGGCATCAACAAAGAGTAAGGGCAAACTCAAAGTTATCTAGCTGGGAAACTGTGCTTAGTGGAGTGCCCCAGGGTACAGTTTTGGAGCCAGTGCTATTCCTCTTGTATGTAAATGACCTTCCTTGTCTTCTATCATCATCGGTCTTGCTATATGCTGACGATGTCAAGATATGGAGAACAATACGATGTGAGGGTGATAGCTTAGAACTCCAAAATGACCTGAAGAAATTATCTGAATGGTCCCAAACCTGGCAGTTGCCAATAAATACTTCCAAGTGTGTTGTGATGCATATCGGTCATCAAGGTACAGATACATACACGATGAATAACACTGAGCTACCTGTTGTTCAGGTACATAGTGACTTAGGAGTCATCGTTAGCCAAGAGCTGAAGACTACTGAACGCTGCTGTGCAATAGCCGCCAAAGGTTTTAGAAACTTATGGTCAATACGTAGGGCTTTTATTCACGTCGACGCCAAAACGTTTTTGACTTTGTATACAGTGTTCGTTCGCCCTAAACTTGAGTACTGCATACAAGCGGCTAGCCCCTGCCTAAAAAACGACAGTGAGCTTCTGGAAAAGGTTCAGAGAACGGCAACTAAGCTGATTCCCGTAACAGTGAAGCTTCCATACGATTCTCGACTGGCCAAGCTGAACCTATTCTCGTTGTCATATCGGAGAACTAGAGGTGACTTGATTACAGTCTACAAATTGCTTAGTGATAAATTTGCACCTGATATATCCTCATTTTTCTTGTCTTCCAAAACAGAGAATTTACGAGGACACTCCAAAAAAGTTCATAAGCCGAGAACAAATTACTTGTCAGCTGACTATCGACTTTCCCATCGAATCATCAACGAGTGGAATTCGCTGCCTCAGCACGTGATTGAGGCTCCATCCGTCGACTCTTTCAAAAGAAAGTTGAATCAACTGAGATACCACCATTGCCAGGACTAACATTGGCCATCGAGCCTCCTGTCCTTCCCAAACTGAAACTGAAAGTGAAACTAACTTGTATATTGTTCATGATATAGCACTGAATGAAAACTCCACACTGAACTGAAATTATTGGAATTCATCAATATATTCAACTCCCACAAAAAAGCAAACACCCGCTGGATGTGGCCGTATAGTCCATTGGACTCAAAAGGAGAAACGTGGCCAAACTTATCTCCATGGCCTAAAGGGGGCCGAGTATCCTCAATGAAGCAACACTCAGTCATTCGAGTACAAAACGATTAGAAAAGGCAAAAGGTAACTCCTGGTTAGAGATCTTGTTTCGACCACAGTTCGCAAGCGCCGGAACAAAACGTGTATGGTAAACACAATGCAGCAATCATCTGACGCATAATAGCTTAAAAGAAAAAGACTATAACAGATATTAACAGACGCGATTTCGGAGATAGGAAATCGTCACAACTCTCACAATATATGAAGCAACTAGCCGGCACATTTAACTTAAATGGAGATTTTTTAGAGCACATTTAATAATAATAAATAGTTCCCAAATAGCAGTCTGTTACATGAGGCATACCAATTTATAGGCAAGATTAAATTGTTACAAAAGATACTGTCTTCACTATGATGGGTTACTCAGTTAGTTTGATATTTTATAAGTACATTGATCATAAAAGTAATTGGGATAATACTTCTCGCATATGAATACAAATAAGATTAGTAAAACCCGTATTGTCAATACGACAGTTGGCGCGCTTTACGGAGGTTGCATTGCGACGTGCAACTGACAGTTGGGAGTGAATACACTTAAATTTGAGTTTCTATAAGCTGTGACCTTATATTCCTATGGGTCATTAGAGGCATTATTGATGGGTCAGGATAGGTAACTTTGTAAGAGCACCAAAACTGTATGGTGACTTCAGTCACTTAACCAAAGACCTTTCCGTGCTGATGGGTACTCTTCCTCTTATCGAGAGAAGAAACCAGACAAGTCGTGAATATGTCTTTAATTAGGTCGTGTGGTAGAGCAGTTGGAGAACAGGGTTATCATTTTCAAGCACACAAAGTGTGGGAAGTAATTTCCTACAGATGTAATTCTAAGCTATTCTTTAGACTGTCGAGAACAGAGTTTCGAACAATAACTAGAGTATAGGAAAAATATGTCAACGAAGCGAATAATATTTTATAACGAACATAAACAAGACATAGTCATACAACGTCAAAGAAAGTCAATGTGGTGGTGGGCGCTTCATATTATTATTGGTGGGTTCGTTTATCGGTCACACTTTACACAAAGCTTTTCACTATTCGATATGAAATAATGGGAAATATAATGCCCATACAAAATAAGGATATGAACGAATACTTGAGCTACAATGTTTTGACATTGCTGAGATGTTTGCCGCCAACTCCCAATCACTCAGCCTAGGTTGTTGCATTGGCTTCCTTCTAAACTCCACTTCCATAGGAATGTCAATTAGATCAACCTACCAAACAAGAACGTGTCAGCTAGGTTTTCATAGCCAAAAAAGGAGCGCTAACTGGATGACGACCAACGCCCAGTCAATATTCGGAGATACTCCATGGACGTCGCACACTTTACTAACTTATTATCTTACCTCTTAGCATCTAACTCCTCCAATAAATTACTGCTCATGACTTGTTTAACGTGTCCCTTATTAGAGGATCAGAGGTTGTAAGATAATAGAAAGTAAGAAAACAAAACAAGAATATCCAGAAACAATCGGAATAGGATAAACTGCTGAATTTTTACTCCCAATTACGTGGATTACTGCAAGAAGCTTAATGAAGATAAAGAGTACAGTATACAGCTTTGATAAAGAGGCTGATAAATTGATGGTTAGGGGACTCCTATTTTACTAAACACCCAACCAGGTATGTTCGTTTGGCCTACACTTAAATACATTCCCATCAATAAGAGAGATCAGAAGAAAAGTTATATTGTCTATGAGCACTGCTAATGACTAATGTCCGTGGGAGCTAGTGGAGCTGGCAACACCAATACAGTTTGTTCACTACTTAGCTGGGTAAGCGAGATGTAGTGTATAGATAAAACAAGATTACAAACATGTTCTAACTCATAATTCAATGCTTCCATTTTAATTGTGGCTTATACTAATAGACGTCCAGCTGAATTCTACCGTTAGTTTGTACAGTCACGGTGTAACGGAAAGAGAACGTTGAAAATCTCTCCACAGCATTTTTGTTGGACAGTACTGTTATTTACTCGTTTCTTCTCCCTGTCGTGTATTTTAACCTTTGTCCAGATCTCTTTTGACCACACTTTATGTTCTTCAGTCTTTCTCGACTGAGTTTTTGTTATGTGATTTTGATTAAAGGCTTACTTTTTGTTACTTAATTTTCTATTGCATGTTGCCGGACTATTGACAGTAAGGTCGTGTTTGACTAAGCCCAAGGTCACGGCGTGGTTCAGTGTGTGACTGTTAACATTTGACTGTCTGTTTGGGAAGATTGCTGGAATCCCTGCAGATATATATTTGATCCCATCTTGTTGGGAATATTATTATTGATTCTTAGGTAATCAACTCTTTTGTATTAACTGTTTCCTTTGTTGTTTAGCACACTACTTTGTGTTAAAGAAACTTTTGACTGTATAATACAAGCTGTGCCCTTTGAGGTATTTTGTATTTATGATATGATTTGTTCTATTTCCTAAATTAGGACCGTTTAAATTGAGCACAGAGTTTGTGTTCTGATATGATTTAATACGAGTAACTCAAAAACGCTTTGTACACTATACAGAAGAACGTAGTCTGGTCTAATCGAATAAATTTTGGTTTGTCAGTCCTGCGTTCTAACCGAATATTGGCAGTTCGGTCGTTACACACGGTCTAGCTCGGTGTTAGTTATTTTACGTCATCATATTAAAAAAGACCTAATTCCAAAATCGTAGATTTGTCATGATGTGACTACCCAATCTACAAGATCTTACGTGGGAGTCGCATCATTGTTTGTACTGCCTCATCGTACGGGACAATCACCAATATGTTTACTAGCTCTAAATAACACATTTCGTTTGGGGAATAAAATGATATATTTATTGTGGAAAAGAGTGAGTTACACAGAATGATCACCCCCGTAAGACTTAGCCATGCCAT